ATGGAGGCAGGATGCATCCCTGGCGTACACCCTTCCCAATTTTGAACTATGCAGTGTTACCCTGCTGTGTTCTGACTACTGCCTCTTGGTCCAAGTATAGGTTTATAGCTTTTGAAAATCCATTGGAGGATCAGTTATTCATAGATTCCAACTCAATGACACTTAACAACAACAGCTTCAACAAAGACAGCCAGTGTTTGCTCAAGTCTCAGGCTCACAGAACATGGAGTATGGGGGTGCAATCTGAGGCAACTAGGCTGGCATTAAGTGTGGTCATTCTTGGGATAACCAGGTGCATGGTTTGTGCACTGGAATACTGCTAACGTTTATAGTTAAGCTAACCCAAATTTTCTTCGAGCTTTCATAGCACCAGATTAAAAATGGTGCTTCCCTACCTGCAATTGGAGGAAGATTGGGGCCAGAGATCCAGGGAATTCCTACTTGTTCAGATGAGAGTTCCTTCAGTTTGTCATATATATTGTATATATTCATGGGCACCACATCTTACAGCATAAATTAGTTTTGCCATGATTTGAACTTTATATAGATGGAAATCATATTGTGGTACAATTTTGTGTTTGACATCTTTTACTCAAAGTTATTTTGTGAAAAACTTACACATATTGTAAATAGTAGATCTTTCCCTGTTGCTGTATAGTAGTCACAATAAAATAAACCACAATTTATTTATCCATTCTACTATTGATTGGAACCTAGGTAGTTTAGAATTCTGGAACATAAAATCATACTTTTTTAAAAAAGTGTCCAATCACAAATGAATAGATTGAGAAATTATGGTACATTCACACAATGGAATACTGTGCAGCCACAGGAGCAATGATTATGTAAAATATTACCTAACTCGGGAGGGACTGGAAAGCATTAGGCTGAGTGAACTCAGTCCCACAAGAACAAATAATATATAAAATCATTATTGTAGAATGAGTATAAGGATCAAGAGGGGGAGGAGATGTTGGAAGCTGAGGGGTGAGTATGTGCAGAGGGAGGAGATGATCAATCATGGAGTTGTACAGTGGCAGGTGAGGGAAATTGGAAGAATCTGTTCTTGAAAACAATATATTCAAATTTAGCAAATAAATTAGTAGTTGTTATGTGCCATCAAGTCGCTTGCGACTCATAGCGACCCTATATACAACAGCCCTGTACTCTGTTCTGTCCTGTGCCAGTCACACTGTCTCTGACACACCCATCCCGATTACCCCAGTCACTGAATCAATCCACCTCATAGAGGGCCTTCCCCTGCTGTGCTGTACCTCCACCCTACCAAGCATGATGTCCCTCTCCAAGGACCTGTCCCTCCTTACAATATGTCCAAAGTATGTTAGACGGAACTTCAGAATCCTGGCCTCCAAAGAGCCACCCGGTTTAACCCTTTGCAGGATGGTCTGTTTGTTTTCCTAGCAGTTCATGGTACCCTCAGTACTCTTCTCCAGCACCACAGCTCAAAGGCTTCAATTCTCCTTCTGTCCTCCTTCGTCACTGTCCAACTCTCTGATGCATAAC